CATGTTTGACCGTATTCTCACAGGGCCCGTCGTTCGAGAAGAAGTCAGCAGAAGAGGAAGACGGCCCAAGAGCGAAATTGCCAAGGCAGCGGCTGCAGCTACGCCAGCAGCAAACGTCCCAGTCGCCCCTTTGCTGACCAACGGGCTGCTCCCAGGGGTGGATCTCTCAACCCTGCAGGCCTTACAGCAAAACCTGCAAAATTTTCAGTCGTTACAGGTGACCACGGGTTTAATGGGGATTTCTGCTGGTCTGAACACAGCGGGTGACGCGAAAAACATGGCCGCTGTCTTTCCCATGTTGCTTTCAGGAATGGCTGGTTTACCAAATTTGCTAGGAATGCGAGGACTCCTAAGCAAGTCTACTGAACCGGCTTCCGAGGAGAAGAAAGGACAGGACCCCAGAGAGCTGGACGGAAAGAGAGAAAGGACAGAAAGCCCACATGCACATAATGGCGGAGAAAACTCCGTATCGGGTTCTCCTTCGACGTCCTCGGCGGCCAGCACCACGGCCAGCTCCTTAGCTCTTAACCCTTTACTGTTGTCCAATATACTTTACCCAGGAATGCTTCTCACGCCAGGCCTTAATCTCCACATCCCAGCTTTGTCCCAGTCGAATATTTTTGATGTACAGAACAGTGAAAATCATGGCACAGGCTTCACCAAGCCTCTGGGAGGAAAAGGAGAGAGTTCCAGGGTTGCAGATGAAGAAGGCAGCAAGGGGGGAACGGAGCCGAGCTCTCGCAACGGAAACAGCACAGACGAAGCTTCGGAGAAAGCAGAAGCTTCTTCCGGCTGTGACAGTATCTCCTCCTCTTCCTCCTCGTCGGAGGAGGAGTCAGACTCCAGCGATGAAGACTGATTTCCCCCCCAGACTGCACTTAAATTATAAACTGGTTTTCAATTTGTTCTTTCATTATTTTGTTGTAAATAACACAGTGTTGCGTGAGTGCATCAGTAATTTACTGACCGAATATTTCAGTATTGTTTAGGAGTGCAAACTGCTTTCAAAAAAAAAAAAAAAACATTTTGCATGTAATATTTTTTGAGGTTCCTTACTTCCTGAAATTCTGTGTACTATCAAATACACAATGGTGTAAAAACAAACAAAAAAAATTACAGGAAAAGGCATTATAATTTTGGGCCGGGGGGGGGAGTAATTTTTTTAAAAGAAAGCTTAGCAAGAGCTGTATATTTAATATATTTGCGGTGAACACAGTTCTTTATGCGCATTATTGATTTAATCTGAATATAGTTTTACAGCCTCCTTGACACTTATAATTTACAGATCAAAACTCAGCAATAATTTGGGCAGCTAATGAATGTCATGAAAGCTGTAGAATCTACATCACCATCCATTGCTTTAATTATATGGAAATGATCTGGTGTTATAATGCACTGTTGATATTCCCAGTTCAGGTACAACTGTGTTTGAAATAGAAAGTTTCCCATTCAGCCAATTAAATTGGCTACTTGTTACCTCAGCTGAGTTAGTTTAGAAAGTTTACATTGGTTTTTCTGCTTGTTTTCCTATATGCTTCGCTTTTTAAAAAGCGTCCTGTGTGAGTTAAATTTGGCAAGGGAAGTTATCATTACCAGTTGCACTCTTTTTACTATAAGCAAAGGGAAAGCTTTTATTTAAATTATCCCTTTCCTGTCTTCAGCAGCATGGGTACTGATTTTAAGTTTCGCTCCATCTACAGCATTCATGTTGTTGAGGAGCTGTATCCACATGTTGAAATAACTCAGAAGTGCCACACTAAACACTGCATACTTCACATATAAGGATTAGATCCTTGCAAAGTTATACTGTTTGCTTTGTTTGTCCAGGTTTCTATTTCGTGTTTGTCATGTAACCTCTTGTAGTTACTAGTTCATAATGGTAGGGAAATGTAGACATTTTAAAAATCTCTCACTTTTACAGATTATTTATATATATATATTATATATATATATACACACATGCACACACACACACATATATGCAGATATATATCTGTGTGTGTGTGTATGTGTGTGTGTATATATATATATATCCCCCAAAATCAAGTTTTAGGGTATATTGGATAATTTTAATAATGCTGAGTTGCCCTGTAACTTTTAAAGCACTTTTAATTATAATGTGAGGAAAGAATACCATGGAACCATGATATAAACAGTGTTTAAAAGCGTCTGTTTTAATATAAATCCTTAGAATCTTACTAGTAGAATTAATCTTAACATTTGAAGTGTGATAGGATTTATTTTATTATTATTTTTTTGCTGAAGCTGCTATTACTCTGACATGGTAGAATCATAGATTCACACCACATGATAGAACTGACTGAGATGAAGTGTGAGATTGTGTTAATCTCATTTGAGGTCCAAAATAGGCAAAAATGTTGATGGAATGGATAAAACGTACCGGCAGTATAGTCAATGACAAACCTCTTCAAAAGGGAATAATTTAACAAAAGCTGTATTTTGATATGGTTCTATTTGCTTGCTTGTACAGTAAACAAGACTGTGTTGTTTTTTTTACCAAATCTTTATCAATAAAAATAAAATTTGTACATGCAAAATCGTAACTCCCTTGGGTAGAAGGCAGTATTACATGTAATTTACACAATTATAAAAGTATCATTTGAATTGTGCTGGTTATTGTATTTCCCCCTCAGAATAGTACTTGTCTGGTCCTTCATACAGTGTCTTAGCAATAGTCGAAACATGTCATGAGGAAAGGGGTAGCAATTTTTCATCATGATTACTACATATTTAATATTTTGCCCTTTGTAATATAGCACTTTTGTTTCTTGTATGTATCCACAATATAGCCAAAGTTTTCCAAACACAATTGTTGACTTAGTCAATGAGTATTTCAACAATATCACTTTGTACCATCCCAACGTACCTGCCCCCCCAAAAGAAAATCCCCTAAGCATAATTTTTAATAAATTTATGAAATAAAGTATTTTCCTAATTATGGTGAAGTGAATTTACTTACCAGTCTAGTGATCTTTATCTATAATGCAGTTTTACAGTTTCAGCAGTATGGCTGATACAGATTTGAATATGAAGTAAAGATTGTTTTTAAATCAGTATCAGTTGAAAGAAGAGAAATACGTACTCTTGTCAGCTAAAACAATATGCAAGTGTGGCTGCACAACGAATTGTAAGAATCTTCATTAGAATTACATTAATACTGAAATTTCAGTACAAACATCCAGGATGGTGAAGAAGTGTATGTTGGTAGTGACTAAAATAACTTTAGTTGTTATTGCCTTGTATTCCTATTCCTTGTTTTGGGCTTCATGATCTGTCTTAGTCCTGTTTTTTTTTTTCCTTGAACATTTTGCAATATTTGCCAGTTGTGTTTTGTGTAGTCTGAATTTGCTTTCTTGTAGTTGAACAAGCGTCTTAAAAGTTATTTGTAATTTATTGAATTACTTTCTATGATGTTCTATAGAGCAAATGGAAGTTTAATTATTTTTTATTAAACATATTCTTTGACAACCCACGATGTTGGTCTCACTACATTGAAAATACCTTTTTGTGACACACCTTAGCTGTCACACAACAAAAATTGACAATGAGATAATTCTGCATTAATTTTGAAGGAATTAAATGTGGTCAACTCATGAATTATTGGAGGAAGTTCTTGACAAATCATGTTTGCAAATGCATGGCAAGTCACTTCAAAATGTGTATGTTCTGTAGGTTTCTAGTTACATACTTGAAATTTAGCTAAAGGGAACGCTTGGCTAAAAAACATCCAGAAATATATTAAAAATAATTGTGTGATCATGAAAATCAGATGGGCAACACCTGATTTTTTTATTCTAATGTCTAGATTTTACAACTCCCAGGATAACTGCCCTTTCCATTGGCCACATCGGCTGGGGCTGAAAAATTCCCAAGTTAGGGACATCTGGGAGACAGAACATTTAGTGAATATTGCATGCTAGGAAAAGCAGCTTTACCACTTGTATTAACTTAGTCTGCGGTGGACATCATGATGCTGCTCAAGGATCCTTTCATTCAAAACTTCCACCCTGGAGCATAATTTCAGAAAAAGGGTGAAACAGATGTAACAGGCAAGTCTGTAGATAAATAAATATGCAGTTGTACCATCTGTTGCATGACTGCATCCCATAGAGCAGGGGTAGGCAACCTTGGCTCTTGAGTTGAAGTCCACGAGTCATAAAAGAGCCAAGGTTGCCTAACCCCTGCCATAGGGGCAAAATATGCCTTGTATTAAAGCAGTACACCAGGTAGAGGAGAACACCAGTAGATATTTTTAACGTTTAATATGCCTAAATATAATAGCATCGTTTCGGCCATGGGGTTGGGGGTGGATTTAGCCTTGTTCTGCAACGGCTTGAGATTCCAGCAGCTTTTGATGCAGGGGAGGCAAGAACCAACTTTGCAGGCTACACTCAAATCAGGAGGAAGTTTTGCAGCCAGGTGCTTAGACTAGAACAGACCTGGAAGGGACCTTGAGGGTCGTTCTAGTCCAGCCCGCCGCGCAAGCAGAACTGCTTTTATTTCAAAGCATCCTTGAACTACATTGAGCAGCGTTTCGAACGACGTGTGGACTTCAACTCCCAGAACACCCCGCGAGATCCAAAAGGTCGACAAGACTCCAGAGTCTCCCAAGCCCCGCCTCCGAACAGCCCACGCCACGGCACAGGACTCCGCTGATTGGCTCGAACGGCCCACCTCCCCCCTAATGGGAGACACCGCGAGGGGCGGGGCCGGCGGCGGGAGGCAGGAACCGAGCTGCCCCCCACGCACACAAACAAGCCGTGGCGCAGGCGCAGTGCGGGCCTGGTCGCGCGAGCCCTTCCCCTCCATCCTCCTGTCTCGTCTTCTTTTCCCCTCAGAGGCGATGCTGGGCGGCGAGGAGAGCGGCCAGGCCGCTGCCGGAGGGGGCGCTCCCGTCGCCGCCGCTGCGGCCTCTCCCGCAACTGAGGCGGAGGCGCCGGCCTTGGCCGTCCCCGCTGCCCGCGACGTTGAGGAAAAAAAGGACGAGGAGGAAGACGACGAGGCGGAAGAGGAGGCGGCGGCGGCCGAGGCGGAGCGAGCCACCCGGCAGCGCTACGAGGAGCTGTGCAGCAGCCTCAACATGGACGAGCGCGCCCGAGCCGAGGCCTGGCTCAGCTACCAGAGTATGAGGAGGAACTACACCCTGGAGGTGGGGCCAAGGGCGGGGCGGGGCCGGGCCTGCGCGGTAGGGCCTGCGCGGTAGGCTGACCGGCCGTCGCCGCCGTCGCCGCCAGGGGGCAGCAAAGCCTCGCAGCGTCCTTCTCTCCTGTTAGGGAGGGGGACCCCCTGCAGGATGCCTCCGGAGCAATGCATGCCATTGACTGGCAAAATTTGTTTTATTTTATTTACTTATATCCTGCCTTTACTACTTTTGCAAGTAACTCAAGGCGGCAGACGTAGCCAATACGCTTTCCTCCTCCTATTTTCCCCACAACAACAACCCTGTGAGGTGGGTTGGGCTAAGAGAGAGAGAGAGAGGGACTGGCCCAAAGTCACCCTGCTGGCTTTGCTAGCTAAGGCGGGGCTAGAACTCCCAGTCTCCTGGTGATTGGCCTAAAGTCACCCGGCTGGCTTGGCTGGCTAAGGCGGGGCTAGAACTCCCAGTCTCCTGATGATTGGCCTAAAGTCACCCGGCTGGCTTTGCTAGCTAAAGTTGGGCTAGAACTCCCAGTCTCCTGGTGATTGGCCCAAAGTCACCCAGCTGGCTTTGCTGGCTAAGGCGGGGCTAGAACTCCCAGTCTCCTGGTGATTGGCCCAAAGTCACCCAGCTGGCTTTGCTGGCTAAGGCGGGGCTAGAACTCACAGTCTCCTGGTGATTGACCCAAAGACACACGACTGGCTTTGATAGCTAAGCCGGGCTAGAACTCCCAGAATGTCTGGAGTTGGTTGTGTTGCATCTCAAGGGGTGATTGTTTTGTTTTTATGAGTTTTATTATTGTGTTCTCAGAGAATATTACTTAATCATGCCATTTATTGTAAATTGAAATAAATAAATGCTCCCTTTAGCAAATTGTACCTCCAATACATCTGATAGAGCAGGGGTTCTCAACCTTGGCAACTTTAAGACTTGTGGACTTCAATTCCCAGAATTCCTCAGCCAGCTTTGCTAAGAATTCTGGGAGTTGAAGTCCACAAGTCTTAAAGTTGCCAAGGTTGAGAACCCCTGTGATAGAGAATAGTAAAGCATCGAAGAGACTAATGAATGAAATAAGAGGCCTTCAGTGCTGAAAGAAGGAAGGATGTATAAAAAAAACATGTACTCAGTGAGCAGTGAGAATGATGGATTTTAGCCTGAGGGTTTAAAGCTTGCATAATAGCTTTGGTAGAGTTATAAATCAGTTATACATCGTTCAAGCACTCAGTTGTGGAAGCACATGGTCTGCAGTTATGTGTTCAGAATACTGTAATTTTAAATACAGTATTTAATTTTTTAAATTGCCAAAAGATGCACCTGATCAGAAATCAGCTGTTTTTCCTGTTATTTGCCTAATCTGTATGAAAGGCAAGAGGTTTTTTTTTCTGTCTGCTTGGTGGTTTAGGCTGACAGGATATGTATCCTGATTAAATTATAGTATTGTTTGGCAAATGGATCTATATATTTGGCCATTTGATAAACAAACAAGCTGAAAGAAATACATTTCTTGGTAGACTAGTGTGAATGTTTTGGTTTTTTGAGTTGAATTGAGTGGGCTGAATTTCCACTGCAATTTACCAGGAGGAATATCATTCCGTAACCTTGAAATCTCCATCTGTGTCTCACAGAACATACAGGTAGTCCTCGACTTAAAACAGTTCATTTAGTGACTGTTCAAAGTAACTGAAAAAAACGGGCTTAGGACCATTTTTCGCACCTGCAACCGTGGCAGCATCCCCATGGTCACATGATCAAAATTCAGATGCTTAGCAACTGGTTCATCTTTATGGCAGTCTTAGTGTCCTGGGGTCACGTGATCCCTTTGGCGGCTTTCTGACAAGCAAAGTCAATGGGAAGCCATTGACTTAACAACTTTGTTACTCACTTAACTAACACAATGATTCACTTAACAACTGTGACAAGAAAAGTCGTAAAATGGGACAAAACTCAGTTAACAAATGTTTCACTTAACAACATAACTTTTGGGCTCCATTGTGGTCATAACTCGAGGATTACCTGTATATTGTTTTTAGCCTACTGCATTGTTACTTAATCCAGACTTTTATTATTCTGAACCTGAAGTTATTTTGATACAGCGTAGAGTTGACATTTTCAGTGGGAAGAGAGTAATAACACACTACATGCTGGAAAAACATTTGAAACAAAAAGGCCTATGCTTAAGCCATCATCAAATTCAAAGAGATAAATATTTCCTTTGAAATATAATTGTAGAGTTTAGAGAAATTCAGTGGCTATTATGTCAGTTCTGTTGGAACAGATTTAAACCAGATTGCTGGTTGCAAAAGTAATCTAGAGACATGTGGAATGTGAACCTTCTAAATCCTTTCTGAATATGTAAACTGGAGCTCACCAAGTACTACTACAGTTTCTGCATAGCTGAGATATTAGTCACTTGTTTCTCTGGATCAGCTTCTTCTTCCAATAGAACATGATAATTGATTGTTTTAAACTGAGCAAACTGTTTTAAAAATGTTCATAATAGTTAAGCTAAAGATAACTAATTAGTTTACATAGCTAATTCCCAGCCAGGAACAAATTTCTTGCAGTTGTATGATTTCGGAGATGGGTGAACTTATTTTACTGTTTTCAATTAACAGGGAAATGATTTGCACTGGTTAGCATGTTCGTTATACGTGGCTTGCAGGAAAGCCGTCCCAACAGTTAGCAGAGGGACTGTGGAAGGAAATTATGTGTCTTTAATAAGAATACTACGCTGTTCAGGACAAAGGTAACGTCTCTTCTAAAACGTTGTGAAGGGCTGAGATTGTCGAGTTTAGAAAGTCTGCTGCGGAACATTATATTTTGATTTTAACGTGTCAATTGCTGTGGTTACTAGTGAAATCTTGTCATACCTTAACACGTACTTCCTGATGGATAGAGAGCACTTTAATAGCCTACAGATAGTCCTCGACTTACGACTGAGCCAACATTTCTGTTGCTAAGTGAGACATTTGTTAAGTGAATCTTGCCCCATTTTATGGTCTCTCTTGCCGCCGTTGTTAAGTGAATCACTGCAGTGATTCATTGGCTCCCCCATTGACTTTGCTTCTCAGAAGGTCACAAAAGGGGATCGCAACCGTCATAAGTATGAGTCAGTTGCCAAGCGTCTGACTTTTGATCACATGACCACGGGGATGCTGCAACGGTTGTCAGTGTGAAAAATGGTCATAACTCACTTTTTTTCAGTGCCGTTGTAACTTCATACGGTCACTAACTGATCTGTTGGAGGTCGAGGACTATCTATACCCTTATTCTAGTTCCCCAGAAGTAATAGACGTGTGGAGACAGATAAATTAGAATCGGTGTTCTACAAAATGTTTTGGAATGTAAACATTACTTAAGCTTGAATTTCTGATAATTGCCAATGTCTTCAGTTTGATAGAATTTTTTAACAAGATGAAGAAATGGGAAGATATGGCAGACCTACCCTCCCAGTTCAGAGAACGTACCACGAGATTAGAAAGAAACTTTACAGTTTCTGCTGTTATTTTTAAGAAGTATGAACCCATTTTTCAGGACATCTTCAAGTACCCTCAGGATGACCAACCACGACAGCAGAGAGGGAGAAAACAAAGGTAGGTGTTCAAGTTGATCACTCAAGATTCCGCCGAGGAGATTTCATTTCTTATTCTTTGAGCATGAGCGAGTTCTTAGTCTTTATTAACTATTCCAGACTGATTGAAAGTGCAGATACCTCTCACTTATGGCCATTCATTCAGCAACCCAGGGCCTTCCCCACCTCTTCGGCACTCCATACTCTTTGTAACCACCACAACGGGCAGAGCCAAGAGTGTGTGGGTGCCTAGCTTAAGGACCACTATGATTTATGACCATAATTCTAGAGTCAAAGGTCGTAAGTGGGGGACCACCTGTAACCTATGTTTCCTTGACATATTCCGAACGTTATAGTTTTAAAACTATAACCATTTCTTTCTGATCTGGGGAATTTGTACTATATTGCAATTCATAGTTTATTTCTCCTTTATAACTTTTGTCCTTAGGAAATGTCCTTGCTGAATTAATCTGTACTAGCTCGTATTTCCACTGATCACTCTGCTATTACTCTACTAGGCTTGTAACTGATGATTACATGCTCATTAACAGCCTATTATCATTGCTTTATTTAATAAATACAAGAGCTACAATATCTGCACAAATAGTTCATTTTTTTTAGCCTAAAGGTTCCAGGCTGTCAGAATCCAATTATATTTCATCTCTAGTTATCAACTATAGAAAACCCCATTTCTGCCTTCTCTGGATTCTGTCATACAATGAAGGGAAGGGGGTGAGCAAAGGGGCTTTATGGCCCTCACTACAAAGGGACTGGATGTGGATATTACCAAAAGGACTAACCATAACAATGGGGCTATTACCTTTCATGTAGTTCTCTCTGAAGTCTCCCTCCGCAAGCAGTAAGGAAAAGGGGGTGGGAGTGTAATGCCTGCGACTGTCGGCTGTCGCTGGAAGAAGGGGGTGATTGGGTGGGGCTACTGGGGAACCCCTTAAAACCTTGAATGGGAGAGCTTGGACCCCAAGCCCTGTCTAGAACGCCTGCAACCATTTTCTCTTAATAAAGGATGTCTGTTGGAAGAATTATTCCAAGAGTTCTGTCTTCTTAAGATGCAAAGTGGGGTGGGTCTCTCAGATTATAAAGAGGAAATATGTATGTATGCCACTTCCGTGGTCCAGCCCGAATGTATATAAGCATCTTCTAGGGTGTACATTTTGAAATGTTTTATTAGATAATTGAAACATAATACTCTTCTTTCTTTTTCATGGCTACATTTCTAAAAAGGAGACAACCTTGCACAGTCTCTGAAGTTTTCCAGTTTTGCTGGGTGCTTTTTGTGTATGCAAAAGGTAAGAATGTTTTTTTTTTTCCTCATTGATCAGAATGTAAGAACAGTAATGCATTTGCCCCGAGGCAGGGTAGCAACCAGCCCATTATTTTTCTGCCTTGCTTTCAAAAAGATTGGGATAAGACATCTTTTGGAATAGGACAGATACGTAGATTTGATAAATTAGTAAAAGATCCATCTCGGTTTTATTTTTATTATCAGCATGAAATTTCTTCAGTATAAAATGTTTCTACGGTTTTATAGAAAAGGCTTATACCTGTTGCAAATTGTTACATTGACAAACGTGCACTTTACATGCCTTTGTATGCAAAATAAATATTCTGTGGACTTTTTCCTAAGTTTGTAGTGGTAAGTATTAGAAAAGAAACATGTCATATAATGCTGCAAAGCAGTTTCCTAGAAGTTTTAAGCATTAAAAACATCTCTTTACAATTTCAAGCCTTTTATTTAAATATCTTTGGGGGGGGGGAAACAGTGTAATAAGGTTTTGTTAAAGTTACTATCAGTAAAATTGATGTTCCAATTGTGTGAAACACAACATACCAATGCACAGTTAGAAAAATCTTTCCTCTCAGTTAAGAAAGAAATCCGAATAATATTAAGAAGGCTCACTGCTCTTGAGAAGGCCAGATCCTGAAGTTGAAACTCAAGGACTTTGGCCAGCTAATGAGAAGGAAGGACTCACTGGAGAAGGGCCTAATGCTGGGAAAGATGGAGGGCGAGAGAAGAAGGGGATGACAGAGAATGAGGTGGCTGGATGGAGTCACCGAAGCAGTAGGCGTGCGCTTAAATGGACTCCAGAAGATGGTAGAGGACAGGAAGGCCTGGAGGAACGTTGTCCATGGGGTTGCAATGGGTCGGACACGACTTCGCAACTAACAACAACAGAAGTCAGCACTGACTTGAAGGCATACACCCACACAAAAATTTACGGTAGAGGTTTCTGTCAGTGAGAAGCATAGAACTAACTATTTTTTTTCTGTTAATGCAACACAACACAAAAACAACACAAACCCACCTTATAAATAAGCCGTGCCTTAAAATGAGAAAAGTGACTTATGCTACTTGTAAGCCCAAGAATTCAAAATGTGATACACACGGGCTCAATTTGTTTCTGTTTCTTTTAGTTGGGGGAAGTGGTTTCTGCTCCCTTTATCATAGCAACCACACTTCAAAGGGCAAGTTTGGGCTTGTTTGAGTGATAGGCTTTCTGGCTTAAAGAAGGATATCACAGGTTCTTTTTTCTGCATGGAAAATCTGCAGATGCTTTGCCTGCTTTCCCGTGAAGGCACACGGTAGGAAAAATAGTAACATCCCATAAACCAGCTTTTAGCAATGTTGACTATTAATTTTGTATTCTTGTTTCCCCTTTTAAATAATATATTGTTATCTTCAGCTTGTCTAAATTTAGAACACGTGTTATTTGAAACCAGTATTACATAGATGTGATATTCTAGTGATGAAGGTAAAGTCTCCATTACTAGTTTGACTATTTATTTTGAACGGAAATAGGCTCACTTAAGAAGTGAAAGACTTCGTTTGAAGCTTCTGATGCTAAAAGAAAATAATTGTTACAGAATCTGGCTTTGTTCAAATTTACCGTATTAATGCTCTCCTCTCTGTATATCAAGGTCAGCGCATAACTCAATATTTGTGCATTAAATCATAATACTCATCCTAGCATTTTAATATATTTTTACAGCAGGTCTGAAACAAACCACAAACTAAAGAATTGATTAGATTTTGATTATGTAAGCATACGCTCTTAAGATGTCATCTGGTTATTGTTAAAAAATGTGCATCTGTAGTATGCAAATTTATTAATTTAGATTTTAAAAAATCAATTTCTGCTGAATACTATAATCTGTTTCCATATTGATTCTCACAGGCAATTTCCCTATGATCAGTGATGATTTGGTAAATTCATACCATCTCTTACTGTGCGTCCTTGATCTAGTCTACGGGAATTCTTTGCAGTGCCCTAATCGTAAGGAGATTCTGAATCCAGGTTTTAAGGGTAAATTTAATTACCTTTTTATTATGCTGCTCTCTGAGTATTATTATTTATTTTTAATTAACTTAAACCTTAAAATGTGGTCAGCAAAATGGTGTATAAATATTGTGCTAAAGGGTTCACCCATTTGGTTTCTTGCATTATCCAGTCATTTATTAAAGGTTTATCATAGAAAATCGTAGAATGCCATAGAGGAAAATTATTCATATTCAGATTTAACTAAGAGAAAACAAAATTGACCTAATGAGAGTAGAATAGAGTAGAGTAGAGTAGAGTAGAGTAGAATAGAATAGAATAGAATAGAATAGAATAGAATAGAATAGAATAGAATAGAATAGAATAGAATAGAATAGAATCAGAACAGGAATAGAATAGAATAGAATAGAATAGAATAGAATAGAATAGAATAGAATAGAATAGAATAGAATAGAATAGAATAGAATAGAATAAGAACAAGAATAGAATAGAATAGAATAGAATAGAATAGAATAGAATAGAATAGAATAGAATAGAATAGAATAGAATAGAATAGAATAGAATAGAATAGAATAGAATAGAGAAGGAACCTTGGAGGTCTTCTAGTCCAGCCCCCTGCTCAAGCAGGAGGATCTATACCATCTCAAACAGATGATTGTCCAGTCTCTTTTTAAAAACTTCTAGCAATGGAGACACCCATGATCTCTGGGGGTAAGCTGTTCTACTGGTTGATTGTCCTCATTGTCAAGAAGTTTCTCCTTAATTCCAGGTTGCTTCTCTCCTTGACCAGTTTCCAACCATTGTTGGAAGATGGTTTCATATTTTTAAAAGAACAACAGATCTTCCATACAACAGGAAATTGATTGTGGATTGGGGTTTTTTCTTTCTTTCTTTCCCATCTGAGCATTTAGAAAGGCAGAAAAATGTTTTTATTTCACTTTCTCTCATCCCCTTCCCACTTTAACCATTACAAAGGGCTGCCTGAAGATTTTCACAGTAAGGATTTTAAGCTCTCGTCTGAAGCCCCTTGCATCATTGAAAAACTCTGCTCCTTGCACGATGGCTTGGTTTTGGAAGCCAAGGGAATAAAAGAACATTTTTGGAAGCCCTATGTGAAAAAACTCTTTGAGAAAAAGGTATGTCATTGGATAACAATTTTAACCGATCTTCAGAATCGCTACAGCTCCGTTATTTATGGTTAAATTTAATTCCTTTTTTTTTTTTTTTTTTTTAGATTCTAAAGGGAAAAGAGGAAAACCTGACAGGTTTTTTGGATCCTGGAAACTTTACAGAAAGCTTGTAAGTACCATAAAACAATGATACTAGCAATTTCAGGATTTTCTGGGTACAAAGGATCCACTAGTCTATAGCTTCTATATCTCTCAGTCTCTGGCCATTCAGATTGGGTTTCGTAACTTTATGAAAGCTTATGAAAACTTTTAGCAATTGTTTGCAAACATTTGTACTTCGATCAGCCCTCGCCTTATTTATTTATGAGACTTATATACCGCTTTAAGTGCAAGCACTCTCTAAGTGGTGTACACCAGTAAGCAATGTATATCTATATATTTACATTGCCCCCAACAATCTGGGTCCTCAGTTTACCTACCCCGGAACGATGGAAGGCTGAGTCAACCTTGAGCCGATGAGATTTGAACTGCTGACCTGCTGAACACAGTCAGCTAAAGTGGCCTGCAGTACTGCACTCTAACTGCTGCGCCACCTCGGCTCAGTTCCATTCTTCATTCCAGTAAGGCTATCAACAAGGCCTATGAGGAATACATACTATCGGTTGGAAATCTAGATGAGAGGATCTTTCTTGGAGAAGATGCAGACGAGGAAATCGGAACTTTGCGGAGATGTTTAAACACAGCTTCGGAGATGGAAACGGCCGAAAGAGTACAAATGAAATACAATCTGCAGGAGCACTTTGAACGGGTGAGTACAAACACGGTCTGGTTTGAAGTTAACTCCGTGATGCTCAGCCTTATTTCAAGTTTCATCCAACCCAGAATCTAGGTCCCATCCAGGGGGGACAAAATGAAAAAGCTCGCTTATTCCAAAGAAGATGTTTTATCTGTTGACAAACATTCTAAACGTAGGTTATTAAAAATTTAAGGTTTAATTAGCAATAAAGGAAAATCTTTGTAGCTCAGGGTTGAAATGAGGAGTCCTTGGTGCTTTCTGAGATTGGTTGTTTTCTTGCAAAGGTTTCATTACTCAAACTAGGTATCATCGTATTGTTGTTACCTAGTTGGGTAATGAAATGTCTGCAGGAAAACAGCTAAGAGACCCCTTGAATTTTAATTAGCTTAACTTCCCATATATCTCACCAAGGGTACTCCTCAGTCTCATATCTTGATTAAGACTACTGGTCTGTCAGTTAATTGCTGTGTCTCTTTAAAGCAATCGTGGTGCCCCGTCTCACCCCAGATGACCCGAAACTATTGCCAATAGTTTAGCTCTGACCCTGGACTTCTTCTTTTTTCTTGTGCATTTTATAGGGGCATTGTTCAGTATAAATATATTAATAGAGGGAGTATTGGGTTAGAACATAGATCGGCAACCTGCAGCTCCGGAGCCACATGCGGCTCTTTGAGCCTTCCCCTGTGGCTCCCAGCCTCCTCTGCCATTTGCAGAGAGAAGACAGGGACAGAGAGAGGCACTTGCGCCTCCCTGCTTCTCTCTCTCTCTCTCTCTCTCTCTGTGTTTTGTTTGTGTGTGTGTGTGTATGTAAAAGAGAGTGGACTCACAGTGTTCTCCGAGGAGCTGAAAAGTCTCCTCCCTTTGCTGCATCTCTGCAGGAAGCAGGAAGGGCAGGAGAGAGCTAGCTAGCCCAGCTATGCTGACTCAGGAATTCTGGGAATTGAAGTCCATGAGTCATAAAAGAGCTGAGGTTGCCTACCCCTGAGCTTGTTGGAGAACAGCTTGAAGCCAGCTTGCCAGGTGAGCAGCAGATCGGAGGGGGGGGGGGAGAGAAAGAGAGAGAGGGAGGGAGAGAGAGAGAGGAAAGAGAGAGCGAAAGAAAGAGAGTGGGGGAAGAGGACTGGCAGGCCAAGGGCAGATAGAGAGAGAGGGAGGGTGAGAGAGAGACAGAGAGAGAGAGACCCTTTTGACATCTAAAATGAAGATAACATTGCATATATCCTTTTTTACCTTCATATATATGTATATGTGTATATATATATATATATATATATATATACACACATACATCATACATACACATATACACACACACGCACACACCTATAATAAAGGTAAAAAAGGATGTATGCAGTGGTATCTTCATTTTAGATATCAAAAGGGTTTTGCGGCTCCCGGTGTTTTGTTTTCGGTGGGAAACGGGTCCAAGTGTCTCTTTGAGTGTTTTGGGTTGCCTACCCCTGGGTTAGAAGAAGAGGCAAATTTCAGTCCCAATAAGCCTTGTTGGAGTTAATGTAGGTGGTTTTCTGAATCCAAATTTTAGCTGAAAGTACAGGAGCTTTCTTGAAACATCTTTCATGTTTGTATCTTTTGATTAGACAAAATCTTTTAGAATATCTACGCCTCTTACTGGCCGGAAATACATCAAGGATAGCGATCCTTACTTGAGCCCCATTTCCATCGCGACCCACTGCTTGACACGGCTTCACACAATGTTGGCAGGGCTGAAGAACGCCCCTAGTGAGAATCTGGAGCAAATTCTGAGGTCGGTAGAATCGCCCTCCATGCACTTCGCAGATTGGGGGCTATAAGATGGTTTCAAATTTGGGCAGTTGGCTGAAATATCTCAGGCTTTAGTTGGTGGAGTGGCACTCTTTTAAGAATTCCTTGTGATTCCAGGTGCTTTTTTTAAAAAAACCCCAAAGTGGCACCTATTCTTTAGAGATGTTCAGTGCATAATAAACAAATCAATTTGTGAAGACTGCATCATCATCATATGAAGTTAAACCTTCAACACTAAGCACAGGTTTCAGTTTCTTTTTGTGATAAATGCTTGGATAAAACATTGCCATTCTTTTTAAAAGCCTCCCGTATAAAACTACTGTATGCACACGAAGACATTTTACTTTCAAAAAATGGCAAATCTACGTTATTCGCTTCTTCATTGACAGGGCGTGTTCGAAGGATCCTTCTCTGTCGATTGCCAATAGAGTGAAAGAAATGTATGAAATTTATTTGCAAAAGGCGCCCTTTTGTGGAGAGTCTGGGAATTTCTCCAAAGGTGAGGACGTTGTCAATGCTGCAAATACTGTATATTCTTGCTTTGACAATATGCAAAACTGTCTGGTATTTACTGGGTTAATACATAGCTTAGAGTGGGCGGGGGGAGGGAAAGCCCGGGAAATAAAGAGGAAGTAAACTTTTGACCTTCACACTAATTGGATAATGTGACTTGTGACTGCAAGATAAGGGAGGGGTTTAGCAAGAAAAGACTGATGCCAGTGAGAGGAAGTCAGATTCTGGCATCACAACGTCCATGATGGTGACCGGCAATTTGTAGCTCTGTAATAAAGACTTTAGGAAACATGCCTGAAAGTTCTTTGAAGTGCTTCATTAGTCGGAACCCCTTGACAGACGTGATGTGCTATCTGTAAAAACACTTTTGCTATGTTTTGTGTTCCCAAAAGACTCTAGTTTTAGTATTAAACTAAGTATTTAGTTTAACATTTTTACTGGGTATGTTCTTACATCTAAGGGCAGTATAAGAATTATCATTTATTATCATTTATTAAATTTGGCCGCCCACCTTGCCAAAGAGTAACTCTGGGCAGCTTCCTATATATGTGTGTGTGTGAGATATAATGTATAATGGCAATTCTGTTTTGTTTTATTATGGGAAAACAGTGCTTATTTTATATGACACAATTATTTTCAGATTTTGTTGGTAAACACTTCCGTCTCGCTGAGGTCCTTTATTATAAGGTTTTGGAATCTGTCATAAAACAAGAAAAGAAAAGACTGGAAGAAGCTGACTTATCTGTAAGTATTGTCCAGTGATTTGCATAAATATTCTCTTTAAACAAAGAATCTACAGGAAAAGGCAACATAGAACACTTGAGTTCAGATGCAAAACTGTCCAAAATCTGATGCTTAACTACACCAATTTAATGCATTGAGCCTTCAGTTTATCCACTGCTTTCCACAGAAAAATCAACGAACACAATAATTTGACAAAGGGATAGTGTCAAGAGGGCCACTGTGATTTAACCAACTGTGGTGGAGATGAGAGTAAGAGATTCTACTTAGGGAGCCATCAGATAAAAGCAGAGAAGCCCACGGCTGAAAAACATGCAGGAAAAGAAACTTGGAAAAGTTCCACCCTGATCATCAGAAGGTTTAGAACACCATAATATGTAATCAGGACATTTTACTAAGCCTTTTCATTGTCCCCTTTCACTTAAGGCTGCTTTGTAGATGTTTCTTAATGGACGGATAGCATTGCACGTGCATTTTAAAACTATCTATCTATGTTTGGCAATTTAGGCACACGATAATGTTAGCAAGCAAGAAATTATCTGATTTTTTCTACTGAACTACCCTCTTTTTTTTCTAGGCCATCTTGGAGCACGATGTCTTTCATAAGTCTCTCATGGCCTGCTGCCTTGAAGTAATTATTTACTCCTACAAGGCGGTGGATAGCTTCCCGTTCATCACGGATGTATTTGATGTTCCTGCCTTCCACTTCTATAAGGTAAATCCTTTGAGTCGAGTGCTCTTAGCAAATTGGTGTAATTGCTGTCGAAGGCACAGGCAGTGGGAACAGAGGGGCATAGAGCGGCATACATCCGGCGTGAGAAATCAGGAACCAGGATGGAGTTTTGAAAATTACGCTGAGTTTATCCCATGCTGCCTATAGATGGGCTACCTGATCTACTAATGGTCAGGGAAAGTTGGCAGCAGATAAAAGTCACCTGACTTCGAGAGAGGCTGGACTTTGGGCTCTTAGAGATGCCAGACTCATGATGTGCTTGACCCCGCCCTCAAGCTCAGCCTGGTCATCTCCTGCAGTATGTTCCTCTATGGCAGGGGTAAGCAATTCAGGAATTCTGGGAGTTGAAGTCCACGAGTCATAAAAGAGCCGAGCTTGCTTACCCCTGCTCTATTCTGGACACACAGAAACCACAGCATGTGTGCTTCTCCAGTGCATAGAGACATTTGTACTAGCTCACCTCTGCATTTTACATAAATAGCCAAGCTCACAGGACAATTCTTTACTTGCTGCTTTCAGATACTAACCCTGCTCTAACATAGCATGTTGCCAGGCTTTGCACAGTGGCGCTTAAAATCTGCCATAAACTAGTCTTCTTGAGCACCTAGGTCGGGGGTAGGCAACCTCAGCTCTTTTATGACTCAGGAATTCTGGGAGTTGAAGTCCATGAGTCATAAAAGAGCCGAGGTTGCCTACCCCGATCTAGGTCATACTACAGCGCTCTATACTGTGATAGATTTAGTCTGCCATATGCTAGAGAGCCAGTTTGGTCTGATGGTTAAGGCACCAGGCTAGAAAGCAGGAGACGGTGAGTTCTAGTCCCACCTTAGCCATGAAAGCCAGCTGGGTGACTTTGAGCCAGACCCATTAAGCCCAACCCACCTCACAGGATTGTTGTTGTGGGGAAAATAGGACGAGGAAGGTGCGTTGGATATGTTCTCTGCCTTGAGTTATTTGTTAAAATAATACAGCAGGGTATAAATAAATAAAATGAAAATAAATATTAACCTTTAGGTTGCCCTATAACCATCTAATGATCAGGACTTTCCTTCTGCATTCACTTTGTTCTTTCTATGTACTTTTACCTTTGAGCTTTTTCTAATGATGGCTCTTGGACTGATGTATGTATTTTCTCTGCTTTTTAATTGACGGGCATCCTCATGCTGATCCGTGTCTGTGATAAAGACTTGACTTGATATGTTATTGATCAGGTTATAGAGATCCTAATCAGAGCAGAAGAGGGCCTTTCCAGGGAGGTGGTGAAGCATCTCAATCACATTGAAGAACAGATTTTGGAGAGTCTGGCGTGGAAAATGGAATCTCCACTCTGGGGCAAAATAAAAGAAAATGAAAATAAAGTCCCTACCTGTGAAGAGGTAAAAGACAAGGGTTCTTTTCTTTTGCTTCCTTGTTCACTAGCACAAAGATTCATTTTTTTTTTTAAAGTAGAAAAGTCCTAAAGACTTGGAGCGGTGGGAATTCTTAGGCAGCAATATCTAAATACCTATAATATCGTGATGAAATATTTTGTGCTTTCAGGTAATGCCACCTCAATATTTTGAAAGATCAAATGGCAACAGCGTGGCTGGTTCCCCTTTAACTCCGAGGAGATTAAGTGAAGTTCGTGCTGAAAGTGGAACGCAGGGGAAAGGTAAGCCTTTCCAGATTTACAGAAGATTACCGGTAGAGGCAGAAATGGCAAATCCTGAAGGTTGAAGCCCAGTGTGTAAAAACATTACAAGCTTATCTTTAAAATTATCCTGTTTTGAAAAAATGTACATTATTAATACAGGTAGGCTTACAACAACTGAGCCCCAGATTACAGTTGTGAATCCTCACAGTTGTAAATTGAGGCACCTACATGGCCCTAACCTTGACCCTACATAACCAGAAGTAAATTTGGGGGCTTTTTTCACAGTGGTTATTAAGCTAACCCAGGGGTAGGCAACCTTGGCTCTTTTGTGACTCGTGGATTTCAACTTCCAGAATTCCTGAGCCAACGTGGCTCAGCTTGGAAACCTCTCCCTTTCCCCTCAGCATGGCTGGCTCAGGAATTCTGGGAGTTGAAGTCCACGAGTCATAAAAGAGCCAAGGTTGCCTACCTCTGGCCTAGGTCTAGGCTGCTTTCTGACTCATGGACTTCAACTCCCAGAATTCCTCAGCCAGCATGGCTCAGTTTGGAAACCTCTCCCTTTCCCCTCAGCATGGCTGGCTCAGGAATTCTGGGAGTTGAAGTCCACGAGTCATAAAAGAGCCAAGGTTGCCTACCCCTGAGCTAAAACATTCATATATTTTTTTTGCCAGAAATCGGCAGAAAAACACCACAAGTCGCAGTTATACGACTGCAAGAATGCCACAACAGCTCCTAAACTGACTTCCTTGACATGCGGCCATAGGACCACCTTTGGGGGGGGGAGAAAGGGGGGGGAGTAGCTGTTCCAGTGGTCAGTGTAATTTGAATTTGAATAGTTGTAAAACAAGTGATTATTAAGCGAGGTCTACCTGCAAAAAACACACATCTTTTTGACGTGGCCTCTGAGCTAATGATCACGATTATCACTATTAACTTGTATGTACACTGAGAGCTTACGCACCAGAAACAGATTCCTTATGTGTCCAACCACACTTGGCCAATAAAGATAAAGAATAAAGAAGTTAAAAAGTGGCACTAAGTCTCAAGAGGGAACTGCCATTTACTGCCTCCCTCCTATGACACGTCCAGGTATACTTCCTTTCTTTAATCTTCCTATTCAATCGCTTAATCCAGGGCGTTTCAACCTTTTCACCCCTTGTACCACTTTTAGGATATGGCAGCATCCGAGTACCACCAGTGGCCTAGCAAGGAGTCAAAAACTTGATAACCAAAAAAAAAAAGGAAAAAGTGATAAAAGTACAGGTAGTCCTCGACTTACAACAGTTCGCTTAGTGACTGTTTGAAGTTACAATGGCACTGAAAAAAGTGCCCCCCAAGCCACAGCCGAGCAAGGCACCTGCCTGCCCACCTGGCGGCGCTCTTCCTCTTGTCCGAGGTTTTCATTGTTGTGAACATTTCTGTTGAGGATTGGCAGCAGGGGAGGTGTTTGGTTTTTATTCCCCTCTTCTGCTGGGTGGTTGCAGCAGGTTTTGGTCCCTTCACATGACCCTGGGACACTGTGACCGTCATAAATATGAATCGGTTGCCAAGCATCTGAATGTAAATCACAAGACCCTGGAGAGGCTGCAACATTCCAGCTGATCGGCGCTTCTTCTGGGCTCAGCAGAAGCACCAGGATCAGCGCTGAGCTCCAGCTGGAGCCTGGCGCTGATTCTGGCACTTCCACTGAGCCCTGACAGCCCCAAAGAAGCGCCGATCAGCTGGAAAGCGGCACTGATCCTGGTGCTTCCGCTGAGCCCTGGCAGCCCTGCAGCTCCAGCCGTCTCTCGCTCAGGCCTGTGCGGTGCTGCCACCGGTTCAGCTCATTCCCCTCCCCCGCTACCACTTTTCCAGGATGGTCGCGTACCACCTGCCAGATGCCAATGGACCACAGGTGCTACTTGTACCACTGGTTGGAAAGCCCTGGCTTAATCTTCCTATTCAGTCGCACAATCATCCAGCACGGGGCCCAGAGACAGGAGGTTTCCAGCCCTTTCAAATGGTGAACTGTCGCACACTTGCTCTGCTCTGCGTCTTGACTCCGGCACGTCTGAAGAGCTCAGTGGATTTGAGCCCTTCCAGATCGCCCTTCATTCCTTTTCCCAGCTAACATCACGTCTGCTTTTCTCTCCCCGACCCCACCCTCCCACCGCCTTTCCCTTGGGAACCTCTGCAGGCGTTTCCTTTTCTCCAGCCACCCTCCACGAACGGTACGGCTCCCCCACCGGCAATCCGACTAGGAGGAGGCTGTTTGTCGATAGTGACACCTCCGGCGAGGCCCCCCGGACCCCGGTGAGGCTCTGCCAGCCGCCTGTGATCAGCACCGTGCCTGTACAGAACGTCTCCTCCGAAACCATCCCTGTCACTCCGGTGCCTGGGCAGACTTTGGTAACCGTGGCAACCGCCACCGTGACCGCCAATAACGGGCAGACGGTTACCATACCGGTGCAAGGTGAGCTGGAGCGGTGCACGGCTCCTTAAACCACGGTAGAGCTGGTGGCTGAGGGAGGACCCCCCATAACATCTATAGCAGTGGTGGCGAACCTATGGCACGGGTGGCAGAGGCGGCACTCGGAGCCCTCTCTGTGGGCACACGCACCGTCTCCCCAGCCCCGCCTCTTCCCCTCCTCACCAGCAGCCCCCCTCCCCAGAGAGTTGCCCCTGGGCGTGGTGCTGGGCAGCGGGGACAAGACTCTGCCCTTGTGCCCTGATGCTGCGGGGCATGGGTGGAGGGCGTGGCTGCCATGGCGCTGCTGGGCTGCCTGGGTGATCTGTGGCGGGCTGTCGAGGTGGTGGGTGGCCCGGCAGGCAGGGCGGAGCGGGGACGGGGGTCAGGGGGGCAGTTTTGGGGCACTCGGTCTCTAAAAGGTTGGCCATCACTGATCTTCCGACGTCAAATTGGGGAGTTTTATATATTATCCACTTCCTTTGACAGGCATTGCCAATGAAAATGGCAGCATAACGTTCATCCCGGTCCAGGTGGTGGGTGGACAGGCTCAGTCCCTGGCTAGCTCCATTCCCCCTCTCAGTGCGCAGGCCCTGGCTGGCACACTGGGTTCTCAGCAGATGACTGGCGCCACCCTCCAGCTGCAAGGCCAGCTCCAGCCGGCTGCCCCTCCTGGAGAACGGCGACAAAAGCAGCAGATCAGCAGGTGCCGAAAAGCCAGCTCTCTCTCCCTCTTCTTTAGAAAGGTACGTCGACCCTGGGAAAGAGACAGTTTGCTCTAGTGCAGTGTTTCCCAAACTTGACAATTTTAAGGCATGTGGAGTTCAACTCCCAGAATTCCACAGCTAGCATTGCTGGCTGTGGAATTCTGGGAGTTGAAGTCCACATGCCTTAAAATTGTCTAGTTTGGGAAACACTGCTCTAGTGGTTCAGGTGCTGGCCTAGAAAACCGGGAGGCGGTGAGTTTTAGTCCTGCCTTAGGCACAAAAGCCAGCTGGGTGGCTTTGGGCTACTCACTCTCTCTTGGTCCAACCCACCTCACAGGGTTGTTGCTGTGAGGAGAGGAGGAGGAGGAGGAAGGAGTATTAAGTAGGTTTATTGCCTTGAGTTATTTACGAAAAACAATCAAGTCAAGGCAATAAAATAATAAATAAAAATAAATACCATAAGCCCAGTCAAGGAACCACCAAGACATGCCCACCAACATTGACGGGGTGAGCCATTAGTATATAAAATGAGAGCAAATCCCCCTCCCTTCTAGCCCTGATGATGTTACCTAGTTTGGTCATGAAATGTCTGCAAGGAAAAAACTAAGCTTGGAGAACATGAAGGACCCCACAGTCCTCTCCTCCACCACAAACCCCAATTCCCTTCTAGCCCTGATGATGTTACCTAGCTGGGTCATGAAACATCTGCAAGAAAGCAAGCTGCGAGAGCACCAAGGACCCCTCATTTCAACCCTGAGCTGCAAATAGTCTCTTGTGCTGGTAAAAATAGATCAACGGATATGTCACTTTATGATGTTTTCCCAGGAAGACTCATCTCCCTGTCTCTTCCGGAATGCTGAACTTCTGTGAAGCATTTTCATAATTTGCTTTTTCATTCCGAGGTGAAACACATCATTCTGCGAAGAAATAGTTACGTCTTCTGGCTCTGACAGTATTTCCTGGCTTCAACAGGTATTTTATTTAGCAAGTATTCGTCTGCGGGATCTCTGCATCAGACTGGATATTTCCGATGAGCTGAGGAAGAAAATCTGGACCTGCTTTGAATTTTCACTGGTACAATGCGCGGAGCTCATGATGGACCGACATCTAGATCAGCTGTTAATGTGTGCCATTTATGTCATTGCCAAGGTAAAGCTTCACAAATTCCATTTAACTTGTCAGGTAAAAAAATACCTAGCGCTAATTAAAGTGCTAACGTGTCAGCTAATGGACGCCTTTGCATTCTAGGTTACAAAAGAAGACACGTCGTTTCAGAACATCATGCGCCACTACCGAATGCAGCCACAGGCCAAAAGCCACGTGAGAACAGTTTCTTTGTTCCTGTATTCATGCTGCATCCAGTGGTTTTATGGGACTTTCTTTTCTTCTTCAGTCCAAGTACTTTCAGCCTTAAGACGGGAAATTCCAGATATTGGCATAGTGTTCAAGATTAGCACTCAGTTCTGTTAAAAGGAGGTCAGATATGTCCAATCCTACCTCGTGAAAAAAAGAGCCTTCCGTAAAACGACTATGAAATGCGTCTCAGATTGATGCCACTTTTAGACCTGCAGGGGTTCCATCTAGCGGGGCTTGGCGTTGTCTTTGAAAAGTATCACAAGAATAACCCTCCCGTTGAAAGCTTATTTTTTTATGCAGCCAGGCCATTTTCTCTTCTGAAATAATTTTGCCTTTTTTTTTTTTTTTAAGGTGTACCGTAGTGTGTTGATTAAAGGCAGAAGACGAAGGAATTCTGGCACCAGCGACACAAACAACCCGCAGGCTTCCCCAGTGGAGAAAAATAAGGACCGAAGTAAGTGAATGTAGTTAGTAGAACACTCGAAGGAGTATTGAGTGAACCCGGATGGAAAATTCTGACAGTTACTCATCAGACTTTATACTGTGGGTAAATATTTAACCGTTTTACGGCCCAAGGTGTTATCAAGGGTAGATTTAGTGCTTAGTCAAAACACCTCCGTTCCTGGGTATAGAAGTCATGTCAAAAAGTACATTTGGAAAAAGGGACCTTGTTGTTGTGATTCCGTGCCAGCCTATGCTCCCCACAGCTGAGTCGGAGGAATCTGAGGAGGAGGTGGAGGAGGCATTTGAAGGGCCATCAGAGCCAGAGGAAGGCTCTGAAGTACAGGACTCACAGTTGGATGCAGAGTCTGGGCCCTCCAGTCATGTTTCTGATGAAGCTCAGCTGTGCGAGGAGCGTGAGTCAGACTTGGAGGAATCACAGCAGATGGACTTGCTAATTGACGCACGCAGGTGGCGTCAATTAGCCAGAGTAAGGCAACAGAGGTCAATGAGGCACCTCCAAAGTAAGAAGAAACGGCAAGGAGAGGCACTGCCTCAGGACTGCTAAATAAAGGGAGGAGGTGTGGGTGGTGCTGGTTGCTGAAGGCAACCCTTTGAAAACTGCGTTTTGGAATCTTGATTTGTGACTTCTCTTATGATTTGGCGTCTGCTTTTCATTGTGTTCTTTTGGACTTGAATTTGTTGCATTTGACAGGTTTGTCAACACAATTAAAGGGGTTTTTGTTTGCAAGTCTCCAGCCTATTGTAGTAGCAGGGGTTTTGTCCTTGTGAAGAGAACAAGGACGACAATAGGCTGGAACAGAACACTTGTTTGCTGAACCTTCGGGAACACAACACATCAATTTCAGACAAAGGCCACGAGCGAAAGGAACTGAGCTTCATCAGGACATCGCTGACGAAGACTTAGCAGAAAGAAGATAAATCCCTGCGGGATATTTTTAAGAAAGAAGAATATTTTTTATTCGTTTCTTTATTTGTATCCCGCCTTTATTATTTTTGCCAATACCTCCAAGGTGGCAAACATATCCAATACACCTCCCTCCTCCTATTGTCTCCACAACAACCCTGTGAGGGAGTTGGACTGAGATTGACTGGCCCAGAGGCACCAAGCTCGCTTTCATGCCTAAGGCTGGACTAGAATTCACAGTCTCCTGGTGATTGGCCAAAGTCACCTGGCCAGATTTCCTGCCGTAAGGGGAACAAGAACTCGCCTCCTGGTGATTGGCCCAAAGTCACCCAGCTGGCTTTCATGGCTAAGGAGGGACTAGACCTCCCAGTCTCCTGGAGACTGGCCCAAAGACGTAGGGTCTACCACAGTGTTTCTCAACCTTGACTATTTTAAGGCATGTGGACTTCAACTCCCAGAATTCCACAACCAGCATTGGGAGTTGAAGTCCACATGCCTTAAAATGGTCAAGGTTGAGAAACACTGGTCTACCACTTTCTCCCCTGCCGCCTTAAAAGCTAGACCAGTGGTTCTCAACCTTTCTAATGCCGCGACCCCATAATACAGTTCCCCATGTTGTGGTGACCCCCAACCACTTATACATCACCGGGTGCCAGGGGCGTGGCCAAAGAAAAGGGGGGAAAAAATGGCGGACAGCCTTGTTTGGCGACCCCCGTGAAATGGTCGTTCGACCCCAAATGGGGTCCCGGCCCACAGGTTGAGAACCACTGAGCTAGACAAAAAGAGAAAAAAAGGCCGGAATAAACAGTGGTTTCATAAAACTGTCCGACGCGGTGCATTTCAATCTGTCTTTGCAGCAAGCCGAGATTCCAGCCCAGTCATGAGGTCGAGTAGCACCCTGCCTGCCCCGCAGCCTAGTAGCGCCCCTCCTACCCCAACGCGACTCACCGGAGCCAGCAGTGACACTGAGGAAGAGGAGCGTGGAGACCTGATTCAGTTTTATAATAATGTCTACACAGACCGGATCAAAGACTTTGCCCTGAAGTACTCCTCAGCCAATGGAGTAAGTAACCCTTTTTGCCTTCCTTCTTGCAAATAGTTAAGCTGCTACCTGTCTGATTAACAACTGGAGACACTCAGGTTGTCCTGCCATTATAATATTTTGCTTTTTTTAAAAAAATAATAATAATTTGGGGGGAGGGTATGTGCGTGGATATTGACTTGTGATCTGGGCAGAAACTGGGAATTAAAAGAAGAGGACTCTCTTAAACCTAAATCTGTTGCAAAAAATAAATCTTAAAGACGAATAAAGCCAAATCATCTGCCTTTACAACAAAAGGGAACCATCTTGTATTTGACACGGGGAATTCTTGTATCCCGTAGGCTAAGTTTTTAAAACTGATAACTCTGAAAACTTGTTACAATTCTCATAATAGAACATCCAAATTGCTCAGGACCATTAATGTAAAAAACCAAGTGGATGTCTTGTGGTGCTTTAAGTTGCCAAATGCATTCTGCTCTCTTTTTTTGTGCTTGCTTGCGAACTACACGCATCTTATTGCTCTTCTGCATCAGACTGATGTCCCTCCCTTGTCTCCGTATCCCTTTGTGAGAACCGGCTCTCCACGCAGAATCCAGCTGTCTCAAAACCACCCAATTTACATTTCCCCCCACAAAAACGAATGTGCAACTTCTCGGCGTGAGAAAATATTCTACTATTTTAGCAGCAGCCCATCTAAGGTAAGAGCTGCTGTTGGATCCCTCAGTGGTGCTATTACCCATTAACTATTTTGAAATCTTATATGTCATTTTAATAAATCAGTAACTTACATCAGTGTTTCCCAAACTTGACAATTTTAAGGCATGTGGACTTCAACTCCCAGAATTCCACAGCCAGCGTTGCTGGCTGTGGAATTCTGGGAGTTGAAGTCCACATGCCTTAAAATTGTCAAGTTTGGGAAACACTGACTTACATGATTTAGCAAACTGTATGTCCTTTTTCTTTCTAAATATTCATGGCTGACTAGATTGCCAATGAACGTCATTATTTATATGACACACACACGGAGGGAAAATATTTGGAAGACAAAATGCAAAGTTTTGTTTCTCAATCATATTATTCAAGTATTTAATATTTTTCCAAGGCTGTATTTGTCAGGGTGAATGTTGATTGGAGCCTCTTTAAAAATGAGTCCAGTGATTGAGACAAAAAAGGCACTATTTGAACGGTGGGGATTTGAGATGTAATCTTGAAATATTAATTTACGGCGTAGGGACCTGAAGCAACCTCAGCCATGTTGCTTAACAGGGTTTACAAGTACCGAAGTTCAACATGATGTCAGTAGTTTAAACAAGCAACAAAGAGATTAGTATTTGCAGATGGATTTTCAGGAGGAGGGGGGAAATGACCAGTTTTTCTTGCTCGTTGCATGTTTCAGAGACTTGAAGAGATTAACAGCATGATTAGAACTGGTGAGACCTCCACGAAAAAGAGGGGCATCGTCTTAGAGGAGGGGGCAGAATCACCAGCCAAGCGCATGTGCCTGGAAAACCACACTGCCCTTCTGAGAAGGTTACAAGATGTGGCAAACGACAGGGTCTCTCACTGATGTCAAAGACTCACCGAGAATTTTTTTTTAATGGCTATCTGGACTTGGACCAGTAATAATAGAAGCTGTGACTTCCACATCTCCAAAGCACTTTGGGGGCAGAAATGAGGTCCTTTTTTTTTTAATCTGATGCTCCTGACATCAAAAAGAGGAATCTTCTGCATACACACACACGCACACACCACTGACGTCTTCTGCTCAAAGACAGTCGGAAAGTTTGAGAAGGAGGATTTCCTGCCAGTCACGCTGCGAGTCACACCAGCTTTGCTTGGATGTATCCCATCGATGGATGTTTACATCCTTTTTAATTTATTTGGTAGAAGGGGTTGGTTTTAAACTCAGAACTGGAAGACCAGTACGTTTTTACATTAGCCCATTAACATTTCTTCCTTTTTTTAGCTAATTGGATCTCATCCAGTGTCATGTTTAGAATCGGCAGTATTTTAACAATGGATTTGGAAATGAGGCAGTCAGCAGTGATAGAATCAGTTCTCTGACTAATTACCTGACCCAGTTTCGAACTGCTGTGAACCTCCTTTTAAATGAGGAGTGAAGATTCTAGCACATTTGTTAAAGCACACTGGAGACAGACCAGAAATTGAAATGGAGGGGAGGATGGGAGGATTTAAGCCTCCCCTCCCCTCCCTTCTCCTTTCCTTCTATGCCGTTCAGGTGATACAGGAATATTATGTATATATACTACACTTTCATTATATTTTAGCTCTGCAATGTTTCAAGTCATCTATCAGCAAGTAGCACTTCACTAGTTCCCAAAATATTTTGAAATGCAAATTAAGAGTTTTGCAACCTTGGCAATGGCACTTTTGAAATATATATACATATATATTTTAAATAGCAAACCCTAAGATGAAAAGCTGTGTTAAACTGCTTGAATTATATTTATTCTGGAAGTGCACAGAAGTCATACTGAACTCTTGTGTATGTTAAGACAGGACTGCTAGCCTTCCCAGCTTCTTAGCTTTATCGTGGCAGTTGGTTAGTTCTTCCCGCTGGTCTTTTTCAAAACGGCTAGCCATCCTGGATTATCGGTGCAGCTTTTTGGTCCATTGCAGCGTTTAACTGCTTTAAATGGAGGTCAGGAAGAATGATGTAGAACATGAAAAAAAAACACCTATTCTTATTGAACCGGCCCCCACCTAGCCTGGCTGTCTATTTGTGATAACAATGGTTCACTAGCATGCAATAAAACCATTTCCTAGCCTTAGGGATGCTGTGGATTAAATCCAAGACTCTCTGCATGCAAAGAATGTGTACTCCGCCAGTGGACTGCGGCTTTCATATGGTTCCTAATAGATGCTGAAAAATTCCATTTTTTTTTTACCCCATAAAAGATCAAATGTGTGTGTAGAGAAGTGAAAAATGGTGTTTGGGCAATTGGACAATCACTTTGAAGACTGATAACGATCCTGTTCAGTATCGCAAGTGTTGTGCAGAGCTTTATGGCCTGGATTGCATTTGGAACAGATCTGTGCTGCTCTTAAAATTGCTCCAAGAGGATCTCAATGTAGACATTGGAGGAAGGATTTTAGCTTTATGAAATGATTGACTGGACATAAATCAAGGCAGGGACAGGGTCATGAAATAGGACATCTTTGGGTGCCGGTAAGTTCAGCCCATTTGTGTGATTGATAAGTTTTATAAAGGAACAAAACCAAAAAGGTCTGATTTCAAAAACAAAAAAAAACCCAGCTAATTCAGCCTTCAGGCACTATCAGCAGTTCTGTTTCTTGCTAGCCTAGCTTCTCCAAAGAGGAAAAAAAGAATTGTGTCCCGTAGATTAAGCCATAGTTAAACACTGTGAAATCTTTCCTGCATTTAGTAGGCTTTGCATTCAAAATTCCCATCCAGTCATTCTTGCATCAAGATACACTTAAATTTACCTATTGATACCCTTATACAAATGGTGTATTTCCTGATTTAACAGAATGGGGGCATTATAGAAGCCCTTTTCTGTTAAATGGCCTGTTAACTTGAGGTTTTACTATAATTGGCAAATCAGAATTCCAAAGAACTTGTACTTAATTTGCAAATATTTTACCCAAAGAAGAAAACTACAACACAGTCTTTCTGCCATGATTGGTCTTTATTTTATTTTTTTTTAAGATGTCACTATTAACACATTAGTCAAGCCATCTCAAGCATGATTCCTAAGTCAACCTATGCTAGGTTCTCTTTAAGATTTTATTAAAACCAAGAACTCTAAAGGATTTCGATTCTTTTTTCATTAAAAACCCTCACCTTTCCTGACTAATGTACTATTTAGGGCTGCCTCTAATATTACTTCCACACATCTTTAGGCTGTTTGAGTTAAGATGCATGCAACTATCACAATGGGAAGAGTTCTCTACTGAAGTCTCTCTTTGCAGTAAAATCTTTCCTCCTGTATGATTCTTGCAGGCAATTGGGTTGTAGCCCTAAAGATTATGGGACAAGTGATGTTAGGAGCAGCCAGTAATGGCAACATCTGTAAAGGAGAAAAGGGGGAAAAAAAATAAATCGGTACACACCATACATAATCAGTCTCGGCCTTTCTGCCCCTAAAAGGGCTAGAAGGAATTGGAACCAAGTATTTACAAATTCCACATCCTAATATATTTACAATAGAAACCAATGCATTTAAAAGTTTTTAAATATAGTTATTTTACTCTGCTATATTAGTTTACACAAACACAGATTATCTCTGGAATGAGTTTTTTCTGGCCTGATTCTTTACATTAAAAAAACAAAACTTTAAAAAGGAACCCATTGAAAACCTCAAGCTACATTTGACTCCTGAGCCCTTCATTTACCCACACGCGACGGGCTTCCCTACAGAAGCCCGGCCTTATAAAAACCGACTTGCCAGCTGCAATTAAAACCCACGTAAAACATCAAGAAGAGCCCAAGTAACCCAAGGACAGGGTTCCTTTAGCTAGCATTTTACTCTTTTTACTAATCCAAAGTCAAGAAGGAGAACCACAGTTTTCGCTGTTGGGCTCTGTTTATGTTCCTCCTTCCAGTCAAAAGTGTTGGGAGTGTTTTCATCCTTTTCGGTAGCTAAGTAGGAAGAGTCTTGTCTTCTTTGCTGAACGGCTGAACGGAGCCTGGCTTCACCCAGGATAGGCCGGAGACTTGCATGTTCTTGCCTTGCTGGTCATCTCCTTTCTTCTAGGAGGAAACGTAAAAATGGGGGGGGGGAAAGCAGCTTTTGTTGCGAACTTGGTCATTTTGTCGTCTTTGGCAAGTTCTTTTGTCTTCTAAAGAAACCTACACCCCCACCCACCCACCCACCCTGAAAGAGACTTGCCCATCCTTGCTCAGTTGAGTAATCCACAATGCAGCTGAATCCTAAAAGAGTTAAATGCTTTAATACAGTAGTTCTCAACCTGTGGGTTGGGACCCCATTTGGGGTCGAATGACCATTTCACGGAGGTCGCCAAACAACGCAGTCCGCCATTTTTCCCCCTTTTTCTTAGCTGTGCTGCTCCCTTTTATTCTATTGGCTTTTGAAAGCCAAGAGACTCTCTTGAATAGAGTCTAATTCTATTGGCTTTCAAAAGCCAATAGGAATTGTCCAGGCTGTCTCTGCCCTGCTGAGCCCGCCAAAAGTCCCATTCTGCAAACGGTGCTGCACCAGTTGAGTAGTCCTCGACTTACGACCAGCTGAGTAGTCCTCGACTTACGACCAGTTGGGGGTCGCGGCATTAAAAAGGTTGAGAACCACTGCTTTTTTTAACGTCTCTGCACTTCAGTATCAAAATATAGTTTAAATCAGGGATGCTCAACCTTGGCAGCTTTAAGACTTGTGGACTTCAGCTCCCAGAATTCCCCAGCCATCTAAGAGCTGTGGACCTCAATTCCCAGAATTCCCCAGCCAACTTTAAGAGCTGTGGACTTGGGAGTTGGAGTCCACAAGTCTTGAGGTTGCTAAAGTTGGGCACCCCTCGATGTGCAGCCATGTGCTTTTCTAGCCATTGTTTCATCCTATCCAGTGTGCAAAGATGTACAACCCACCCCCACACACAAACAACACTGTCTCTTATCTCACAACAAGGCTACGCAAGGACCTTTTCAGCGTAAGGAGCTTGCCTCAGTTTCTTTCGATGCAATAGCACGTATTTCTTCCCGTTCCTTTTTACCCATTTCTATAAAATAAGATATATCTTTCTTCCATACCTTCTGAGTCAACATCTTCTCTCTCACTTCATTGTGTATAGCTGGATTCCAGGGAGAAAAGCTGCAAGACGCAAGCAAAATGTCAGCCAGGCTTCCCACGTTTTCAAAGCTAAAGGCAGAACATCTATTTAATGGAAATACAGTAACCCAGCAGAGGTAAAACATGAAAATTAAATAACCACTCTCCTAAGCACGTCTACTGGACATTTACAATGTCTTAAGAATTAAGAACTTGGCAACATTTTTTTGGGTGCCACACAGGACATCTATGAATGTAATTTATTGGGTGGGAAAAAACCCTCCAGTTTGCATGGGCTTGTAAACAATAGAGAGCCTAAATCTACATCGGGTTAAGAGAAACACAGGAAGTTCTCGTTTAGCGGCAAAATGGAATTAGTAACTTGGCCATTACAGTCCTAGTTCAGCTTCCCTTGCTTTACAGAGCTGTGGAGGTCGTAACTGCAAGGACAGTCACAACATTACTTTTCCATCACCGCCGTAGCTGAACCGTCAACTGAGGCTCTTGCTAAATTCGAACTGACTGTACTTGGTCCCAAACAACATCATGTGACTTGATCACTACTCTTAAGCTACCTAATTGCATGGGGGTCTTCAATTTTGGGGGGATCAAATAGGTGACTGCTGCATAATTTTACACTGTCGACCACTTTGCTCTTGAAGAGTTGAATATCTTTTTCATACCTAAGAAGAGAAAGAGAAAGAATGCATCGTAGAACGCTCCTGGAAGGAATGGACGCTTTCTATCAAATGTCTTAAAAAAAAAAACAACAACCCATAAGCAGATTTACTGCGCATTTTACCCACCACAAAATTTGTTTTATATAAACATAATACCCAGAAATCTGAAGGTTCTGTTTGACAGGATTAAAAAAAAAAGGCATAACTATACATTACCGTGGTTAGTGGAAATAAACCAGTGACATTTGGCTTCAGGCATTTTATAGGTCATTAAGAAAAAACTATACTCAAAAATAATCTATATGATGAACTGCAGCTTTCAGAGAAGTTTCTAACCTCCCCCCCCCCCGAAGAAAAAGAACTTACAGCACAGCAGATTCAGGGTTGAGAGGGCTGGTTGTGTCAATCTTGTAGAAAACTCGGCGCGCGTACATCAGTATTTGCCATATGTGATTATGATTGCGCCTGTAGGAGAAAGAAACGCAGGTAAGAGGCCTTGTCAAAGGCCCATCTTTCTCTGCTCAATACCGAGGTTCTAGACCAGTGGTTCTCAACCTTTCTAATGCCGCGACCCCATAATACAGTTCCCCATGTTGTGGTGACCCCCAACCACTTATACATCAGCGGGTGCCAGGGGCATGGCCAAAGAAAAGGGGGAAAAATGGCGGACAGCCTTGTTTGGCGACCCCCGTGAAATGGTCGTTCAACCCCAAATGGAGTCCCGACCCACAGGTTGAGAACCACTGGTCTAGACCCATCCCATCCCTCTCACCTCCATTTGGCAAATGCTCTCTTCACGTCCAGTTCACCTGAGACAGGATCCACCAGCGGGTGGAAAATGGGAAGATCAAAAATCAAGCGCTGGGGGGGGGGGGAAGAGAGAAAAACACTGATGTCAAACATGGCAGATTGGTTTACGAAGTCCACTCAAGTTTCCTTCCTTCGTCAGAGGAAAGGTTTTTGTGTGCGTGACACAATAAACAATTATTAGGTGCAAGGGTCGTGTTGCACATTGGCTGTTAAGAGCCCTTTTGGACTGTTTTTGAGCCTTTAAGAAATGTGCTGTCTGAAGATTTGAAAGGCCAGGATCGTTAGCCATCATCAAAGAGGAAATCTATCCATGTGCTTACTAAGAGTCCAGAACAGTTTGATGGCATATATAACCAATCAATCAATGTCAACCCTAGAGACTAAAATTTCTCAGCAGGCTACTGTGCTGCCTTTCGCTAAATGTCAACCCGGTCAGGCATTAACTAGTTTCCTAGACAAGTGCACTCTTGAGCAGATTGCGATCAAATCCACAAATTTGCATTTTTGTGGTTTGTGAGTAAACACAAACTCGAGGAGTTCTTAAGAGTTTGGGAATTGATCCCAGATTTTCCTTAGGGTGTGGAGAAAAGAGGCAGGAATACTTTACAGTCGTCTTGGGCGAGATGGGCAGCGTGATAGATAAGCCAAAATAAGTCTTATCCCTCATTTCCTGGAAAATGAGGGATAAGACTTATTTTCAGATAGATAGATAGATAGATAGATAGATAGATAGATAGATAGATAGATAGATAGATAGATAGACAGACAGACAGACAGACAGACTGACTGACTGACTGACTGACTGACTGACGCAGGCAGGCAAGGGCAGGCAGACAGACAGACAGGAGAGGGGTAGAGATAGATGATTGATAGGCAGACTGACAGACAGGAGAGGGGTAGAGATAGATGATTGATAGGCAGACAGACAGACAGACAGAGGCAGGCAGGCAGACGGACAGACAGAGACAGGCAGACAGGAGAGGGGTAGAGATAGATGACTGATAGGCAGACAGACAGATAGAGGCAGGCAGGCAGACGGACAGACAGGAGAGGGGTAGAGATAGATGATTGATAGATAGGCAGACAGAAAATATTTTTAAAAACTCAGTAGCTTCTACCAACCCCAATCCCTTGGAGAGCTATTCAGCAGGGCCAGGAGGATTATCCTTGACTTTCTTTCAAGTTGAGCTCAGCTCCTGGTTTCCCCATACATACTGCTTTCTCCCATAATAGATTCTGTCTTCCCAATTTAGCCCACAACCCTGTGGATTCCTGATGGCTTCCTTCCAAGTAGAAACCTGCTTATCTCATCTTAAGGTCAACCAGATACTGCCACCTGCTATGATGTATCCTAGTTGTATTAATAGGAAGATCGCCAATAAACTGAAGCAGCCGCTCCCTGGAGCCCTGCCTGCACCCTGGCAACTGGGACATTGGTGTCCTGGTATTCCTTTTTAATTGTATCTCTAATTTAAATAGCCTGAGCCACTGCGCCCAAAATTTCTTCCATGCAAATATATTTACTCTTCCAGTGAATCGAATTTCAATTTATTTATTTATTTATTTATGAGACTTATATACCGCTTTAAGTGCAAGCACTCTCTAAGCGGTGTACACCAGTAAGCAATGTATATATATATTTACATTGCCCCCAACAATCTGGGTCCTCATTTTACCTACCCCGGAAGGATGGAAGGCTGAGTCAACCTTGAGCCGGTGAGATTTGAACCGCTGACCTGCTGAACACAGTCAGCTAAAGTGGCCTGCAGGACTGCACTCTAACTGCTGCGCCACCTCGGCTCATCTTAAT